GTTGTCGCCATCTACTACCTGGAACCATCGTCATTTGTGGGCGCGACGTCGCACGCGACGCCCACCAGCGCGATGAATTACGATTCTCGTTGTCACACACCCCTAACAAGTTGCTCTGAAAGGCTTTATTCCGCTAAGGTCTTTTTGCAGATGATGGGGGCATGTTCAAGAAGAGAGGGCTTGTCGGTAACGCTCACGCAGTGTTGCGGCTGTACTCGCCTTCACCAACTATTGCAGAAAAGAGGAGGACAGAGACCGTGCAACGTCGTGAATTTGCGCTCGTACGCGCGCGCGGACCCATGGCGACGAACAGTGCGGGAAAACGAGAGGCATCAGGTTTGTTGCTCCGTGCAAGTGCTATTCAAGAAAACAAGACTATACCATAGCAGATTTGAATGGCCAATCAGGACAACTCGTCCTTCGGACGCCACGTAGCTTCCCGCGTCTACTAGCGCGGCATATTACGGTTGTCTTGTCACGTACCGAAGAAAAGACAGGCGGTGTGGCCAACCCTAGCCTCACTGTCACGCTTCTTCATCGGCAGCGAACCAGACTGTACTCTCTTCATCTTCGGATTGATTATTTGATTGATTGATTGATTGGTGCTTAACGGGTGGAGCTGTCGAAGAGGGAGCAATGCTCATCGATTTCAGAGAGATTTGGGTCTGTCTGGCAGACGGGGCTCATAAAGAGAGTGGATTCGCTCGGAGGATGGGTCCGCAAATAAGATGGGTGTGGTCTGTTTAGTGGGCGGGGTTCATGAACAGGAAATGATTGCGACGGTTTCATTCTTGATTACTTTATTGATTGGTTGATTATCAAGAAATTAGTTGAAAGAACAACTGAATGTAAGGCTTCTATGATCCAGGAAAGACTTACTAAAAGAGAGCGCGTGCCTAAGCGAAGACATACTATACAAGTGTGGCGTATAACTGAAGGCAGCAAGGGGCGTGGCTGCGTGAGCAGCGAGCGTTCAGACGAAATAGGGCATAGTGGCGCGTGTGGGGCACGAGTGAACGCCCCCTCCGGCCTTACGATATGGTCCATATAAGTATTAGGTTATTATAGACATACTATAGAAAAAAATGATAATTTTTGACAATCTATTATCAGTTCTTTATTCAGCTAATGGAATCAGCCGCGTTGGGAGCTCAAATCACCAACACCGAGTAAGAAGAAAATACTATGTGAACATCACACTCCGTCTCTTTCATCATGTTATACTACAGTTATACGTAATCAACTTATTCATTAGTGTTTGTGAAGAATATTACCTAAAGACATAAGATTCTGATGTTCTGTGTTATTACTATTATTCTCATCATTAATATTATATTATTCAAATTTGTCCTGGACTCGTATCCACTAAAAATGGCCGATTATAGTCAAATCGCTAGGACTTCCCTCACATCCATGTCCATTACACCTACAGTAATTAGTAGTAGGATGACTTTTACTGGATACGGGACCTGGTCTGTCATGACCCAATTGATCTACGCCTTGTCTGTCTCACTATAGATGATTTTTGTTTGTGATGAAATTCATCCGTCGACACATTGAAACATGAGAAAATTCCGTCTAGCCAAATGGGGCCTTATTAATAGACGCCTTTTACCGTGATTTTTCTAGAGAATATTTGAATATTTATGTGAGTCACTATTTTGCCTTCTCTTTATTTCAACAATATCGGTTTCCGGTTGCGTTTGCTGGTGTACTGTAGTGTCTTATTTTGTATTTGCCGCACGAAAAAATCCCCGTCCCTAGTGCCTTTCACTATGATGAACACACTGCAACACTGTGGTGCCTTATAGAGGTTTCATCAATTTCTGTTGTTTCTTTTTCTTCAAAACACCACGACACTTAAGAGATCTTTATAATTGTATGTATTAAATATTTTGGTCGTACTATATTGTTGGTGTAATTAGAGTTTCGTCTGTTTTCTGAATAAAATTGCACTAGAATTAATAAGACCCTTTGCGTTCCTTATGTAAGACATTCCGCGATGGTCGAATAGGCGGAGACTCATGACGAGGGTGCCTTCCTGGTGTGAAAGGGGTGATGACGAAGACAATGTGGTTAGTGCCCGCCCACTGGACCATCGCAAGCATGTGAACTATTTCAAGCTGCAGAGGCTTTCCCTTTGTTAAGTTGTGCAACTGGAATACTAATGACAAGGTACTATGTGATTTAAGGTCGTAGAAAAGCGGGAGAATTTTGTCCGAAATGCCCTGCGTAGAGTCCCGTTTTGATGAGAGCTTGTACGTGCTTGAAGACAGTTGCCACGATTCCGTGTGATGGATGCTGTTCATTCATGAACCAGTAGCATGAGTGATTCCCTTACAAACGCAGCCATGGAAAGACACTCGATTGAAGATACAATAGTTTTTTCTAGTATCGCTAATCTAGTCACGTTATCACTCTGAGAGTATCGACCACCAAGTGGCCGCTATTCTGAGGATGGTTCATTCGTAACCGTCCCATCTCGGACTTCCACAATACTTCAATCGTAGAGTCACGGTAGCTAATATTTCTTTCCGTAATGATGCCGAAAGTAGAAAGTAGAAAAATTTCAGAGCGAATGATGGCGGCTGTAGCTTCCCATGCCATTGAGCGAAATGCTGATGCAGAGTTGGACGCAGATCTTCTTACAGTCAGTTTTATTTTGTGCTGATGATGTTGACCTACCAGTAGCGAAAAGGTGTTGAATGTGCAGTAGTGAAGATGTTGAGCAATGTCCAGACCTGAGATGACTCGTAATTCGCGCTGTTGGAAGATTCAAGGCTAATCGTTTCGTTGACTCTGTCTACGTGAAGAAATCGATTCGTATCCAATCCGTCTATCACGGCGGAAAGTATGAATACACCGTGATCAAACAAAGCATGTATACAGGGGGGGGCAAAAAAAAAGTCATTCCGGCCGAGTCACATATGAGCGAAGTTTTCGCAGCCCAGACAGAGGAAGTGGATATGAGTACCAGGGCGGAAGATACCCAAGATCTTCCTCTATAAGCAGGAGCCGGCTGCCGCCATTCACCTTCATGTACACCAAAATGAAGTCATCTCCAGTCGCGGCCTGAGTGGAGAACGCCTTTGGAATTCACGTGGCCTCCAAACAGCTGCGGAACTTCTTGAATGGAATCACCCATGGATAGCTACCTGGAGACCAGTACTCTTGATCTGCACCAACATCGAGCAGCTCCGGCAACGTCGCTACGGTCCAGGACATCATCTTCACCCCATTCACCAAGGCGCGGTTGATGGTGTGGACCGGCCGTACCTGGAATGGAAAGACCAGTATTTTCTTCGTGAACCCCGGACTAAAGGTGAGCGCTGGCGGTTACATTGGGCAACTCGTGAAGAATATCCAGCTCACATGTGGTCGCCCGTACCTTCTTGGAAACTTTGTACTGCTACAGCATCGAGTGCCACCACATGAAATCGAAGGGCGTTGGAAAAACTTTCGCCTACTTGGAATGGAAGAACGTTGAGTACCTGGAAAAGATGGAGTATTTAAGCGGGGGTCCTGAACTAAACCCCCTCAATTACTCGGTTCGGGCGGAGCTCAACAGGGTGGTCTACAGTGGCGGAGAAATCAACGATCTCGCTCAACTCCGGTACCCACTCACTTTCGCAGCGGGCCCCGATTCTCGATGGCACTCCTCCAGAAGGCTGTGGCGGAGTATCATTATAGTATTTAATGCGCTCTTTAATATGGTAGTAAAAATGTCCGATAAAAATTTAATAAAGTGTAACTTATAGCGCCTTGAAAGTCATGGAGGCAAAATGACTTTTTTTGCCCCCCCCCCCTTGTAGTGTAGTTTGCTGGCGGTCAGGGTTGGGCGTGTCAGTGCGGCTGCGTTTGGCGCGGTGCTAAACCCGTTTCTCATTAGCTGCTGAAGTGAACAAACGATAACGCAGTATCATATCATTCCTATCAGCCGTTTCCCACCAATTGCTGTCGCTCGCTTCAGCAGGTGTGGAAAACGGGTTTGGCACCGCGCCGAACGCAGCCGCCCGCAGCTGCACCGACACGTCCCATCATCCGCTGCGGACAAGGCTGTGACTGGTTGTTCTTCTGTGAGCGCTACAGTCCAAGTTCTCTCATAAGCATGGCTTATAATGCTTCGTAGTTCAGATGAACACCGACAAGGTCAGCCTCGGGAACATCCCTCAAGACTTCATATCGTTCATTCTTGAAAAGCCAGGTGAGAGAAAATCATCTCCCCAGCTGTTTTCAACCACCTCATCATCCCGTTCAATACAAAATGAGCAATGAGTCGTGTTATCAGCATCAGTTCATGAATGACAACTTACACTCCTCAAAACAATTGTTCCTGCTCCAGTGCTTCAATGTTTAAGAACGAAATTTGGGGGCAGTTCGGCCGATTTCGCACTTTCGTTGCTCCACTAGTTCCGGTTTAGTAGCCTCACTGCGGTGAAACCTGTCAACTCTCGTGAAGCTGGAGCAAGCTGGTCGAGCCACCATGGTAAAACCTGTCAATTCTTGTGAGCTCAAGAGATAGCTCTCTAGTTGAGTCGACACGTTTATGGGAAGTTAGCAAAGTTGAATGGCCCCCCCTGTCAAACTGCGCCTTAAAATTCACCGGGAGAACTCTAGTGAGAGAACCCTGTTTGTTCTCTGGCCATGTAGCCGCTCTGTTCATCAAATAACTGCGTACTGTCAAGCATAGCTTTGAACTTCACCAAGTCATAGTTGGTGATTTACAGGAGATTTTTGCATTTCAACAAATTCATTGGCGTCCTATGTGCTATCAATAAGATCTGACAAAGGACAAAACCTTCCACTTGGCGCTGGAAACAGTAGCGTGGGTTGCCCTTTATGGTTACAGTGTGCACAGTTCGTGTATGGGCAGAGCCGTGGCTGACTAGGGAAGGGTCCCTTCAAATGTCCGGCCATGTCCATATTCTCGTTTGACGCGTTCCGCCGTTAGCGATTCGAATGAATCTTAGGCTTTCAGGAAGGGTTACCGTATTCGAAGTATGCTTTTCGCCACTGGAGCCACAATCGGCGAACTTATATACAACATTCGGGACTCATCGGTGAGCCACTGCCTTCATTAGACAGCGACAAAGAAGTTTTACTCAGTTTTACTCAGGACAAATAGCGCTAACATAGTTGGGGAAGGTGGGGGGGGGGAGGGAGGAGAGACCACTCGTCAGCGTGCCCTTATCCCACACCCTAAGCAAGGCTTGTCTTCGGCTTGAGAGGAAAGAATGTCATCTCCAAGTGATTCTCTCTCGGCGACTCTTTTGAGGATGGGAATCAGAGGTGAGTCCAAGTACCTAGCCACCCCCCCCCCCCCCCCCCTTCCAACTAAGCCAACTAAGTTAGCGCCGAGATCTGTTCTGAATACACCTATTACAGTTAGATGTACTGTCTGGCGTGCTTGGCTGTCCAGTTTATCCTCGACGACTCATCACAAAAGATGTGCTACGTCACTTCAGAATATTTGAAGGAGACTGTGTCATTAGTAAGAGGCTCTCTCATGAAGACAATCACTTCAAGGTAGTTTCATTTAGAATATTAGAACAGGGAACACATGCTGCGTTCGTACCTCTGGCAACTTTGGCGATTACGGTGAAAGATAGTCACCGATTCGAAGACCAAATAAGTCTAGGAATTCAGATACTTGTCGATCCGACGACAAAAAGGTGGATTATGCTAACTAACTGGGCGACAGGGCTAAAGGCGGGTTATATACATAAACGAGTGATTGGGTAAAAGGCTATTCCGGGGTTATAATATAGTGTTAAGGTCACTCTGCTAAGCTTCCCCCTGAGGAAGGAGCGCCTCTTGCGAAAAAGTAGATGAGCACACCAATGAGGAAATGATTGGAGGAAGAAGCTGTAACGCACGTCGACGTGCTACCATCGAATCCGCTCCCTTATAGGCAGGTGTTTTGGAATAGTGTGGGAAGGCAGCAGGGTACGCGCTGCCTGATCACCCAGATTGGTCCCTCCTATTTTCCTATACTCTCCCAAAATCCAAGCGGCTGGCGCCCATCGATGCCAGACTGTGTGGTTAGGCACAACGTACCCTCCTACTCTCCCAAACTCTTTCAAAGCAGAGTCAACCCGTCAATGCCGACGATCCTGTCTATAGCATTGGAGCGCGCTTGCAATGGTAGCGCGTAGTCGTACGTGACGACCTGTCGTCGCGCGTCATCGCGAGTTTTGAACGCTGCTTCAGGTAGGATGTAGGCGGATTTGTAAGTGTCCGAACCGAGATGGCCAACTCATGTCAGGTGACAGCAATCCGCATATTATATGCGGATCATAACGAACGCGCATTGTTAATGGTTTCGCTGATGCGCCAATAGTAAAGCGTTATCAGAGAAGAAGGGCGCAGTTTGGCGACAGGGGGGGGGCATTTTGTACTATCTCTGCTTCCCTAGTTCCGTTTT